ACACACACACACACACACACACACACACACACACACACACACACATACACACACCATCTGTAAAACAAGATAAAAGAACCAAAGGGGTATGTCTCAAGTAGTAGATCATATGCCTAAGAAGCACAAGGACCTGAATTCAATCCTTAGTACTACATACATGCACATACACAGACACACATACAATCTCTATGTGGCTAGGCATGGTTGCACATGCCTATCTCCCTAGCTACTTGTGAGGATTGTGGCTCAAGGTCAGCCTGGGCAGTGGCAGCCCTGTCTCAAAAACAAGCTGAGTGTGCTTAGCACATTCCTCTGGTCTAAGCTATTTAGGAGATATAGGTAGGAGGATCACAGCTTAGGCTAGCCTTGGCAAAAGTATTAGATTCCATCTAGAAACCAAACTAAAAGCCAAAAGATTGGGGGTGTGGCTCAAGTGTTATAGTGCCTTCCTTGCTAGCCTGAAACTCTTGAGTTCAATATCTTTGTGAGGCAGGTGCATAAGTATCATCCCAGTTTGAAGGAGGCTGAAGCAGGGGGATCGTGAGTTTGAGGCCAGCCTGGACTACATATCCAGATCCTATCTCAAAAATCAAACAAGGAGCCAAGCTCAGAGAAACAAATGGTGCATATTTTCTCTCATATGTGGAAGCTAGAGCAAAAATACACTGGGACATAAATTATATAGGACTCTAAGCATTCACACACAGTGAGACCAAAGGAGGCTACTCTTAGAGGACAAAGGAGTAATGCCTATGTGCACCTGATCATATAAAATAATAGTTTTTGAAATGAAAATATGAACAAACAAAGGAGCAAGATACAATGGCTCAAGCCTGTAATCCTAGCTGCTTGGGAGGCAGAGATCTGGGAATTTCAGTTCAAAGCTAGCCTGGCCATAAAAGTTGGCAAGAGTCCATCTCAACCAATGACAAAGGAAGAACAAGTAGCATAACAGCCCAAGCTATTCCAGTCATTAAGCAAGACTCTACCTTGTAAATATCCAAAACAAAAAGAGGCTGGAGATGTGGCTCAAGTGGTAGAGAGCCTGACTAGCAAATAAAAGGCTCTGAGTTCAATCCCTAGTACAGTCAAAAACAAAAACAAAACAAAAAAAGGAGCCAGGGGCTGATGGTTCATGCCTGTTACACTAGGTGCTTGAGAAGTGGATACTGAGATGATCTCAATTCAAGGCCAACCTGGGCAAAATGTTTGAGAGATCCCCATTTCAACAATAAAAGCTGGGCATGGTGGCACGTGTCTGTCATCCCAGTTTATACTGGTAAGTGTAAATAGGAGGTTTATGGTCTAGGCCAGCCCAGAAAAAAAAAGAAGACTATCTCTACCCTCTAAAAATCCCACAGAGGCTTAGCTCAAGCACTTTAGCACCTGGCTAGCAAGTGCTAAGTCCTGAATTCAAACCCCAGTATCACACAAAAAAGGATGGGTATAGTGGTACATGTCTGTAGCCCAGCTATGTGGGACATGGAGGTAGGAGAATCATGGTTGCAGGTTGGTACATGCAAAAAGCACAAGACTCTATCTAAAAAGTAACTAAAGATAAACCTGATACTGGTGGCTCATACCTGTAATCTTAGCTACTCTAGAGGCTGAGATTTGAGAATCATGGTCAAAAGTCAGCCTGGGCAAGAATGTTTGTGAAACTTTTATCTTCAATTAACCATCAAAAAGCCAGAAGCAGAAGTGGGGCTCAAGTGTGAGAGGATTATCCTCCCACACACACTTTATGTTGGGTGTGGGTCTTGAACTCAGGGCCTGGGTGCTGTCTCTGAACTCTTTTGCACAATTCTAGTGCTCTACAACTTTGAGGCACAGCACCACTTTCAGTTTTCTGGTAGTTAACTGGAGATATGAGTCTCATGGACTTTCTTACCTGGGCTGACTTTGAAGCACTGTCTTCAGATCTCAGCCTCCTGAGTAGCTAGGATTGGAGGCATACGCCACAAGTGCCTGGTGGATATTTTTTGTGTATGTGACCCATCACATAAGGGGAAGTGTAGCTTTTCCATTTGTTGCATCATGTCCATAAAACAAGTTTCAAATTTGTGAGCTTTTTGGATTTAAGATTAGGGCAATGTATACTACTATTATACTTATTCTGTTATGAAAAAGCAGAGTTGGAAAACAGCTTTAACTAGTGAGCAAGTTGTAGCAAAAGGAAGACTTATGTAAACTATGCTTTAGAAGTATATGTAAATATAGGCTTGGAAGGTAACTGGGGTAGAGTGCTTGCTTTGCATGCATGAGGCCCTGGGTTCGATTCCTCAGCACCACATAAGCAGAAAAAGCTGGAAGTGGCACTGTGGCTCAATAGACACTAACATTGAGCTGAAGAGCTGAGGGACAGTGCCTAGGCCCAGAGTTCAGGCCCCACAACCAACAAAAATAAATAAATAAATAATTTAAAAAGAAGCATAAGTAAATATAAAGTGAAATAACAAAGGCAAGAGAGATGTATAGGCAAAAAGTAGCCAAATTCACATTAAAACTGGTTATCTGGAATGATTCAAGATTGTGTCTCTTTTTAGTTTTATTTATTATTTTTCTTTTTTCTGTCAGTACTTGGACTTGGACTCAGGGCCGGGTACTGTTCGTGAGCTTCAAGGCTCTACCACTTGAGCCACAGTACCACTTCTGGCTTTTTCTGTAGTATATTAGAGAGAAGTGTCTCAATTACTTTTCTGCCCAGGCTAGTTTCAAACCATAACTCTCAGATCTCAGCCTCCTGGGTCACTAGGATTACAAGGGTAAGCCACCAAGGCTGAGATGAGGATCACAGTTTGAAGCCAGCCCAGGCAGAAAAGTCTGTGAGACTCTTATCTCCAATAAATTACTCAGAAAAAGCCAGAATTGGTAGTGTGGTTCAAGTGGTACAGTGCCAGCCCTGAACACAAAGAGGCTCAGGGATATTTCCCAGGCCCTGATTTCAAGCCCCAAGATCAGAAAAAAATGGAAAGAAGGAAAAAGGAAGGGAGAGAGAGAAAGAGGGAGGGAAGGAGAAAAAAATGATTTTTTTTGGTGTGGTGCTGGTGATGAAACCCAGAGGCCTTCCCGTGCTAGGCAATGCTCTACCACTGAGCTATACTACCAGCCCTTGGTTTATTGAGATGGAGTTTCATTAGGTAGCCTTGGCTGGCCTCCAACTCCCAATCCTCCTGCCCCTGCCTCTGGAGTGCTAGGACCACAACATATTCCACCATTGCTAGCCAGAGAGCTTGAATTTTTTAGTACCATTTCTATCTCACTTCTGAAACAAAATGATGAAATAGTCTAAACTTTTAAAAGAAAAGTAAGAAGAAGAAAAGAACTGAAAATGGACAAACACACATATGAATTCTGAACTTAAGAACAAAAGCAGCCCTGTGCATTTCTAGGCTGTACTGAAATTGGAGATGAGAACTACAAATGTGATTCTTCCAGCCTTTCAAGATTTTTATCCCTGTGTGAGCCAGATCACAAGAAATGTTGGCATAGGCATGGCTATGGTTGTATGAAGAATCACATCTCTTTAATTCTACACTGGCAGGACACCTTTGGCTGACACACCTGTAATCCTACCTACTCAGGAGGCTGAGATATGAGGATTATGGTTCAAAGCCAGACTGGGCAGGAAAGCCCATGAAACACTTTTCTCTAATTAACCACCTAAAAAACAGAAGTGTAGCTGTGGCTCAAAGTGGTAAAACAGTAACCTTGAGTGGAAAAGCTCAGGGACAGCATCCAGGCCCTGAGTTCAAGCCCTATGATCAAAGGGCAAAAATAGATATTTTATATCACAGCTGAGCAATTCTAGCCCTGTATTTCCCACAGGATTGCTGATGGGGAATTGGATGACCCATCAGAAAAGTAGCTGATCAATTTCAGGAAATCTTTTCTTTGGAAAAAGTGCTCACTTAAAAAATATAAATGTGTTGTTATTATTAAAGTGTTGTACAGAGGGGTTACTATTTCATAAGTCAGGTAATGAGTACATTTCTTTTTTTTTTTTGGACAATGTGGCCTCTTCCTTTCCCACATGTTCACTTTCTCTAAATGAGATAAATAAATCAAGTGTGTTTCCTTTCTTTTATGAAGTTGCTTTTATAAGTCTCAGAAAAGTAACCACAGCTCAATATATGGAGACTCCTATAATCTATATATATTTCAACCTTGACTTGGTCTTACTTTACTTCCCCAAACCTTATTTTGTATGTTTTTTTGTTATTGTTCTTGTTTCATGTTTATAGTTATTTTTAGGGAGGAGAATTTGGAGACAGGGTCTTTCTTTTTTTTGGGGGGGGGTCCGGTCGTGGGGCCTGAACTCTGGGCCTGGGCACTGTCCCTCAGCTCTTCAGCTCAAGGCTAGCGCTCTACCACTTGAGTCACAGCACCACTTCTGGCTTTTTTCTTTTTGCTTATGTGGTGCTGAGGGCCTCAGGCATGCAAGGCAAGCGCTCTACCACTGAGCCACCTTCCCAGCCCGAGACAGGGTCTTTCTATGTAGCATGAGCTGGCTTGGAACTCTTAATCCTCCTGAGTTTCTGAGTTCTAGGATTACAAATGTGTGCTATCATGTGAGGTACTGTATATATGCATACTTGTACAATTTATAGTATCAATAGTAATACAAAGCTGGGCAGTAGTGTCTCTTGCCTGTAATCCTAGCCATTCAGGAGGCTGAGCTCTAAGGATCATGGTTTGAAGCCAGTCTTGTCTGGAAAGCCTGAGATTCCTATCTCTAACCACCAAAAGGCCAGAAGTGGATCTGTGGCTCAAGCACCAGCATTGATCAAGAAAAAAACAACAACAACAACTAAGAGACAGCACCCAAGCCCTGAGTTCAAGCCTTAGTATAAGCCCACACAAAAATAATGCAATAACATGAAATTTATATTTAAGGCATATCACGTATATAATAGGCATTGTCTTAAACACTTATCTTAACTCAATTGATCTCTAAAATAACCATGCAAGGTAGGTAGCATCACCATCATCATCGTCATCATCATAGTCAGGGAAACTAAGGCACAGAGGGACTAGACTTTACTAAACATTGTATAGCTGTTAAGATGTAAAGCTTAGGATACGGTGGTCTTAATTCTTGTACATCATTGCCTTCTTGTTTCTATATATTCTAACATGGGGAAGGGGAGGGGGGTGAGATACAAGTAATAACTTACCCAGAACTCAGTCATGTCTGACTGTGGTGAAGGGAAGGCAAAGGCCTAAAAAGGCAGAACTGTTGAAAGGGAGGAGAAGAAAAGAGAAGAGCTGCAGATGGCAAGGAGTGCCCAGACTGAAAGTTCACCAGATCACCAGGCCAGAAATCCACACATGCCAGCTGGTAAAATGGCCACGCTTTAGCTAAGAAAAAAGGGAAAGGACATTTGTTTTCCCCCACAGATCCCCATCACCCAACAACACATTTGTATCATGGACCTCATAAGCCATTCTACATCCCCCACCAGATTCCCCATCGCTGACTCAGAATCCCCACCCCCTGCTACCCTATATATTCCCCAGAGCTCCCTCTGCCATCATTTATACTACAAACTCCATCATTCAATCTATAGATCCGCTCATCATCCCCCCCAAATACTCCCATCATCCACCCCATACACAACTCCTCGGTTACAGACGTCACAGACCCCCATGTCTTGTCCCACAGACCCCCACCAGCCCACGTACAGCTCCATCCTCAGACTCTCATTACTCAGCTCCGAGCTCCTCCCCAAGTACTCACCCTGTAAATTCGTGTCTTAAAAAAAATCCACACTCCCAATCCCTGTCACTCCGCCCCACAGAGTACCAGCCCTCTCACTTCCGCTCTGAGTGAACTCTGCCCTCCTTCATCCCTAGCTCCGAATTCTTATTCTGGCAAAGTCTCCTTCAATGTTTCCAAAATCAGTCCTAACTTCCTGCGATAGCCACTTTTTCGCCCTTTATCCCGCCTCGGTTACTGTCAGTCACTATATTTGCTCATGCGCAGTAGCCCTTCCTGAAGCCATTCATGCTGGCAGCTTAAATTATTTTGATTACCACAATGATTGTATTTGGGGGGCAAAAAAATGGCCGCGTTAATAAGCCGACTTTCCCTGGGAGCAGACATCTTTACAGCTTTTACAGTTCCGTACAAAGAAGTCTGCCTTCTCAACTTTAGAAGAGATGAAATTTCGAGAGGCATTAAAAACAAAACTTGGCGCTAAGACTAGGGACTCGGGTGCCAAAGCTGGCTAATTATGGTTTTTGTTCTGCAAATCGAGAGTTAAGGACTACCCCCCCCCGCCATCCGCAGGGAGGGGGAGGCTGGAATGGTACAATCCTCCCCGGTAACTATTCAGGAAGGAAGGAATCGCAGCAGAGAACGATCCATTTCTCTACCGACCAATGCCTCTTCGGAGACAAGGAGGACATTTAGAGCTGATGGTCCTCTTAAGAAATTATCACTTGCGAGCCAAATACGGCTCGTACCGGGTCGTACCGGGTTGGTACGATCCGCTCTGGGAGATACCAAGGTGCAGATACGCAGAAGGGGGAGGTGGCGGCAGCAAAATTCTATCCGCTGTAAAGAGTCTTTAGAGCAAAGCTACACCTGTAAGCACAGAGATTCGGAGACAGAAGCTTAGGGACAAAGGGGCCCGGGCGAAGTAGGATCTTAGACATTAAGGAAAAAGCCACACATAATTGACAGTAACCCCACCATGCTCAAATTTCTGGGAATCTGCTGCAGACACATTTGGGAAAGCTGAGATGTGATACCAGGGTCCAACCCCGCACCCCTCCCATCTCTGAGCTCCTATGGGGAGGGGCTGATCAGGGTCTCCTAGAAGCCTGGAGGAATCAAATGAAGATAATGCTCAGATTCAGAACTTAAGACACCTTGCCCCATAAATCGAACTCTTATCATTTAACCAGGTGAAAGACAAAAAGTCAGGCTATTACAATAGAGAATACTTTCATTAATGAGAATATCCCAAAGGCAAGGAAGTGGTCCTGAATTTTATATGGTGGGACCAACAAAGGAGTCAACCTTGAATCATAAAGCAGGATGCATAGATTAGTTAGAATATGAAAAAGACTTGGAAACTGATATGCACTGGTGTCCCCTTCCAAAATTACTATATTGAACCCCTCAATATGATGGTATTTGGAAGTGAGACCTGGTTGGGGGGGGCAGTTAGTTAGATGACTTCATGAGGGTGAAGCTCTGATCCCATGGAATTAAGGCCCTAAAACCTTGAACCACCAGGACTGTGAGAAAGCAAGTTCCTGATTCATAATCCATTCAAACTGTGATATTTTGTTATGGCAGCCAGAGCTGACTAAGGTAGAGTCCTGAACAGTTAGTCCTTACCTGGAATACAAAGAGACGGTGTTTGAAGTGATACAAGGGAATAACCATCCCTACTTTCCAGAAACACAGCACTCACTCAGATACAAAGAAACACTGCCACCTCTATTTCAGCTTACTCTGACCTTAGTGATTTCCTTTCCTTCCCAATTCTACCAATCATTCAAATTGATTCTCATTTGCTGTATCCTAAATGTCCTTCCATTCAATCACACTGCTATTCGTGTTCATTCACTCTACTTCATATCACCATTCACACATAACACTAACTCTAAGGGAAAACTTGGGGGAAGGAGACTGGGGTTGGGGCTCAGAGCATTTGCCTATTATATTCAAGTCCCTTATTTGATCCCCAGCATTGGAAAAATAAACTTTTGCTGTTGAAGCAGTAAAATATGCATAGCATCAAATGTTTACTATTTTAACATGCACAGCTCAGTGTCATTTAGTTCATTCAGTGTACTGCAACAATTACCACTGTCTGGTTACAGACCATCTTCATCACTTCCCCTCAAACCACACAGCCATTAAGCAATCATTTCCCATCCTGCTCAGTTCCCATCTCTTGGATACCACATAATCTGTTTTCTGTCACAATGGATTTGCCCACTGGGAATATTTCATCTGAATCAAATGATGCACTCTGTGGAATTTTGTGGCTAGCCTTTTTTCCCCACTTAGCAGAATGTCTGTTTTGTTTATTGCATGCCACTGAAAAAGAATACCATATTGGGCTCATGGTTTTGGAGTCTGGGAAGTCCAAGATATACAACATAAGAATATGACCAGGACCTGGCTAACAAGTGTGAGTCAGGAGGCAGACATCTGAGGATTGTGTTTTGAAGCCACCCTGAGCAGAAAAGTGTGAGACTCTTACCTCCAATTACCCACCCCCCAAAAAAACAACAGGAATTAAAGCTATAACTGAAGTGGTACAGTGTTAGCCTTGAATAAAAAAGCTAAAGGATAGCACCCAGGATCTGAGTTCAGCCCCCAATACCAGCAGACACACACACACACACAAATCTGGTCAGGGTCTTGCTGCATACCGTCATTGCAGGAAATAGGTAAGCATGCTCTAGATAGGGCAAGAAAAATCAGGAGACTTCACCCTTTCTCAGCAGGAACCCAATCTCCACATAACCCACTCCTTCTATAATGGCATAATGACAAGGGAAAGGGAAGGAATAGCTCAGGATTCTGGGGTGTCATGTAGGGATAATGACATCAACTTGAAAGAAACTCAGTCAGACAAAGCCTCCTTTTGTAGAAGGATGAACCATCAGACAAAAATCCACCAGGTAAGCACCCAGAACAGGCAAGCTGCTCCCTTTTTATCCGTAGAGCAGCAGGCCCTGCCCCTCTTCTCAGATTGAGTTCAGAATGTAGTTAATTAACAAGATCTAACTAAAATTCAAGGAGCTTCGAACAGGATGTCTTTATAAAAGTGCAGCAGGTAAAGGTTATAAAGATAATGTAATTAACAAGAGCCAAGCCACTTGGCCAAAACAGGATCAGAAAAATAATTCTCAAAAGATTAACTGTAAGGAAGCCAAGTACTTTAATAGAAAAGAAGCTTTGCTCACACAGGTCAATCAGCTGGCAATATAATCCTAGAAGGTGTCAAGTTGTGGGACTCAGAATCAGGAATGCCACTGTGACAGATTGGCATAGCAATAATCTGTGCTATTTTTTGTGATAACCTCCATGCTTCACCAGCCTGAAAGAGTATTAATATCAGTACTTGAGTAAACACACCTTGGTCTGACTGCTAGGGGTCAAGGCTCCTAGCTGGCCAAGGACAGTTAATTGTTGACCAGGATCCCCCCAAACCAATGCTAGACATCATGAACCTTCTGAGCCTGAACACAAACAGAGCAGTTCAGGACCTAGGAGCAAGCCACACAAGCCAAGCATTCAGACTGAGTCTGGACCTGAAGTGCAATTGACCACCGTATTTGTTGAAGCAGCAGCAGCTGTGCTTGCATATGGAACCACAGAACAAGATGACATCTTCCTAGTTCTATTGCAGAGCCAGTTCCATACCTGACATTTTGGCTGAGGTGACTAACACATTACTAAGGAGACAAAAAGTAGGGAGACCAGGAAGTAGGGCTAGGAGCATAGCTCACTGGTAGAGCACTTGCCTAGCATGTGCAAGGCCCTGGATAATGACCTGGATTTTTGGAGCCACAGGCTGGTAAAAAAATTTCATAGAATGGGGCATGGGTAGTTCATACCTGTAATCCTACTCAGGAGCCTGAGGTCTGAGAATCTCATTGGAAACCGGCCCAGGTAGATAAATCCAAGAAACAGTTATCTCCAACTAACCAGGAAAAAAGCCAAAAATAGAGATATTGTTCAAGTGGTAAAGTATAAGCCTTCAGTGAGAAAGGTAGGCAAGTCCCAGAGTTCAAGCCCCATTACCAGGGCACATACAAAAACAAAAGTATCAAGACACGAAATTTTACAAAACAAAGGTTAGCTGGATACTAGTGGTTCATGCCTGTAATCCTAGCTTATCAGGAGGGTGAGATCTGAGGATCTTGGTTCCAAGTCAGCTCTGCAGGAAAGTCCATGATTCTCTTATCTCTAATTAACCACAAAAAAAGCTGCAAGAGAAGCTGTGGCCAACCTTGAGCCAAAAAAGCACAGGGACACTGACCAGGCCCTAAGCTCAAGTCCCAAGACTGGCACACAAAAAGAGCAGGGGGTATTAGAATAAGGTTAAAAATAACAATAAACTAGGCAAAGGAATACAGTGCTGCCATTACTGCTAAGCTGATCTGAGGTGGGGAGAGGCTTTAAAGAGATGACTGAGGATTGTGTTGGTTGGCTATTTCTTTTTCATGGGCTTAATTGATGTTAATTTTTTTTCTTTCAGAGGATGGTTTGAATTAGGGATGGGGGAACATCTTACCACCAGATTGATTTGACTTGTACATTCCATAGAAGTCTGGATATTTTCCTGTCTTCCATGACTCGTGTGTGTGTGTGTGTGTGTGTGTGTGTGTGTGTGTGTGTGTGTGTGTGTGTGTGTGGTGGGGGCTCCACAGATTCTATCCATGGCAACAGGAAACAAAGCAGCATATATTCCTGCCTCTTTCAGGGCTCTAAAGGAGTTGGTTATCCTACTCAAACCTAAAGACTCCTAGTGAACCTTGCTCCCTGCAGCTTTTCACCAAGGAAGCTAATTTCCAGAGAGCAAATAAGGGAAGCTCACTGGAGGTGAAAACTGGCGCCATCTAGTGAAAGATCTTAAGAAGACAGTTTATCTGCAAAATAATGACAAAGACAAACAAGAAAGGTAATTTCTCACTTGGGGAGGAGACACATGCTGCTCTCTCTTCTACTCTGGCCCAGTGTCTCCTGAAGGACATAGCCCAAGAACTGATAGAAAAAATGGGCTTGCTGGCTAGAAAGCACATATATAACAGTGTACTACATGGCTTACTGAAGTGGCAGTGTTGAGCCCAAGGACAATGCCCAGGATCTGAATTCAAACCCCAAGACTGTCACACACAGACATACAAACACACACATACATACAAAAGGATACCAC